CATTATTTTTTAAAATTTATTTATTATAATGTTTTTATTGTAGATTTTCACTACCATTTATCTCCCCATACCCTTTTCACCTCCACCGACTGCCTGCCCCCTGGAGTCACCACACTGTTGTCTGTGTCCATGAGTTCTTTCTCTTTGTTTTTTTGTTGCTTGATCCCTTCTCCCCCCTCAACCCCACCTCTGGCCTGTCATCCTGCTCTCTATCTATGAGTCTGTCTATTTTGCTTATTAGTTCAGTTTGTTCATTAGATTCCACATACAAGTGAAACGATACGGTCTTTGTCTTTCTGTGACTGGCTTATTTCACTTAGCATAATGTTCTCCAGGTCCCTCCATGGTGTTGCAAGGGGTAAGATGTTCCTTCTTTTTTTTTTTTTTTCTCTTCTCAGACAAGTAGTGTTCTATTGTATAAATGTACCATAGCTGTATTTTCCACCCATCTACTGATGGACACTTGGGATGCTTCTAGATCTTGGCTATTGTAAATAACGTTGCAGTGAACATGGGGGGCGCATGTATTCTTTCAAATTAGTGTTTCAGGTGTCTTCAGGTAAGCTCCCAAAAGTGGAATTGCTGCATCACAAAGCAGTTCCATTTTTAATTTTTTGAAGTAACTGCATACTGCTTTCCACAGTGGCTGCACCAGCCTGCATTCCCACCAATAGTGCAAAAGAGTTCCCCTTTCTCCACATCTTTTCCAGCACTTGTTGAATGTTGATTTATTGATGATAACCATTCTGACAGGTGTGAGATGACATCTCACTGTGGTTTTAATGTACATTTCTCTGATGATTGGTGACACTGGGCAGCTTTTCATATGTCTATTGGCCATCTATATGTCCTGTTTGGAGAAGCGTCTGTTCAGGTTCTTTGCCCATTTTTAAATTAGATTGTTTGGTTGGGTTTTTTTTGGTCTTGAGATTTAAAAGTTCTTTATAAATTTTGGATGTTAATCCCTTATCAGATGTATTGGGAAATATGTTCTTCCATTCACTGGGTTGTATTTCCATTTTGTTGATGATTTCCTTTGCTGAGCAAAAACTTCTTAGTTTGATGTAGTTCTCATTTGTTTATTTTTCTTTTGTTTCCCTTGTCCAAGGAGATAAATCAGAAAAACTGTTGCTATGAGAAATGTCTGAGAGTTTACTGCCAGGATTTCCAAAATTCTTCTAGGATTTTTATGGTTTTGAGTGTACCACGTAAGTCTTTAATCCATTTTGTGTATATTCTTCTGTGGTGTAAGAAGGTGGTCTAGTTTCATTTTTTTGCACGTGTGTTCAGTTTTCCCAGCACCATTTAATGAATAGACTATCTTTAACCTATTCTATGTTTTTGCCTCCTTTGTCAAATATTCATTGACTGTAAAGTGTGGGGTTATTTCTGGGCTCTCCGTTCTGTTTCATTAATCTATATGTTTGTTTTTATGCCAGTACCATGCTGTTTTGATTACTATATCCTTGTGTTATAGTTTGATAGTAAATAGTGTGATTCCTCCGATTTCATTGTTCTTTCTCAGGATTGCTGTTGCTATATGGGGTCTATTGTCTTTCCACATAAAATTTTGGAATATTTGTTCCATTTATGTGAAATACGTCATGGTATCTTGATAGGAATTAAATCTTTAGATTGCTTTGGGTAGTATGGATATTTTAATGATGTTAATTCTTTCCATCTGCGAACATGGTATATGCTTCCACATATTTGTATCTTCTTCAGTTTCTTTCTTTAATATCTTAACAATTTTCTGAGTACAGGTCTTTTACATTCTTGGTTAAATTTATTCCTAGATATTTTACTCTTTCTGAAGGAAATGTGAGGTGGGATTTTTTTTAAATTTCTCTTCCTGATAGTTTACTATTGGTGTATAAAAATGATATCTGGATCTTAATTTTGTATCCTGCTATTTACTGAATTCATTTATTGGTTATAGTTTTTAGTGGAAACTTTGGGGTTCTCTATATACACTATCATGTCATGTACAAATGATAACAGTTTTACTTTTTTTTCCAATTCAGATGCCTTTTATTTCTTCTTCTTGTCTGATTGCTGTGGCTATGGCTTCTAGTACTATGTTGAATAAGAGTAGTGAAAGCAGACATTTCTCTCTTGTTTCTGATCTTAAGGGGAATACTTGTAGTTTTTACTCATTGAGTATGATGTTGGCAGGGATAGATGTTAGCAGAACATTTTAATTTTCCAGGCAGGAGGGCTTTGAGTGCAGCCTGTCCGTTCCTTTGCTCCCTTCCTTCTCCAGACCCTCCACCTGGAATAGCTCTGAGACAGGTGCATAGCTTGGAAGTGGAGGTGGGAATTAGTAGTTGCTTTTTCTTCAGAGGAGTTGGTTTTAACTTTTAAAATTGAGATGATGATTGTTCTTACCACAATAAAAGAGAGAGAATGATGTTAAGATGATGACGAGAAGATGTTAGAGAAAGCAGCCAGCCTGAGATAAGAGCTCAGAGAAAGGAGTCAGGACCCTTGGGGGTGCCGGGGAGCAGGAGGCAGACTCTACCTCCAGCCCTGGGCCCAGCTGCCCTGCCCTCTCCTTCCCAATTGGTCCCATCTGTGTCCTGAGGTCCCAGAAGCAGTTTCAAGAGCAGATCCTGCAAGGTAGGCCCCTTTTGGCCTGGCTCAGGACCTGTTCAAAGCCACTTTCTCCCCATTCTATTCGTCTAAGCAGACCCAGGGCCAGCCCAGTTTCAAAGGGGTGGAGAAATAGATTTTACCTTTTGATGGGAGAACTGTCCCATGTCACATTGCAAAAGAGTGTGGACACAGGGAAGCATTAAAAAAAAAAGTAGTTTCAGAACCATAATAGCATCTGGCCTTGACCTTGGCCTTGAGGCTGTTGTCAGTTGTTGCTGCTATAATTTGCTCTAATTACGTAAGATTCTCCCCTTTCTCAGAAATCTGGGGCTGAATCTGCTGTAGCCCCCTGGAGTGCATTTGCTGTGGTTAAGATAAAACCTTCAGAGATGCCTTTGCCCACGGTGACATACCTGCTGGCATGTGGTGATCTGTACTGTGTTTTCTTGTCACTTAAAAGGATTTGGAGCAGAGGTGTAGCCAAATTGCAAGAAATGTGAGGGAATTTGACCACGTTGTGTTTGCAGTTGTTTGGGAGGTCAGACACCTCAAATCTCCTTTGGTGTCTCCGTGGTTTTACAGTTCACTATTTTCTCTGTTCTCTTTCATTGTAACATTTAATCATTGTCATGTCAACAGGCTACCATAAAAATAACACTTCATAATTACCTGATACAGATTGTATGGGTATATTTAAGAATATGCATTTCTCTTCTACACTTAGTGTGAATAGAGCATTGTCCTTAACTTTTATTCCTGTTAGAAACCTACATTCAAAATGAATAATTATTCTCGTTTTGCTTTTCTAATGTCATCCAGATTGCAAAAATATCTGCCTCTAAGGACTCAGGAGGACTTATTTATGGGAGCAAAGGTAGTGAGTCATACCTGCAAGCTTGGAAATGAGAGTTCATTTGAGCCTCTTCATCCAGTCAGGAGGTTTCCTAGGCAACCATTTATGCAGTAATTAAAAGATGAGGAACTATGAGGTATGTACGTGGAAAATTTAATCCTCAAATGCAGTCCCTGTCAGATTGAGACCTCAGTTTTCATTTAAAAGCTTAACACTTAATTGTAGAAGAACACACTACTAAGATGTGTGTGTGTTGTGCTTTGTCCTTATCTTTTTAATACTTTTTCTCTGACGGGAATGTTTATATATATTAATGCCGGCTCATTTGGGAAAGCAGGAGAGAAGTTGCTGCTTGAAGTGATTTCATTTAGCTGTGAAGTTATTTGGAAAAGCAGATCATCTTTTCTTGTGCTTATTTCTGAGCTTGTCATCAGTAGAAATTCTAGGGTGTGAAGTTTATTAATCATTTGTTTCTTCTTTCAGTGTTTGAGTTGCTGTTTATTTATTCCAATTCTTTAGTTATTTTAGTCTCCCTTAGACTACTGAAACATGCTGCTCTGTGGCTTGGGGGAAAAGTAGGGTCGTTGGTCTGTGAGTAGGAATGAGGGACTCTTTCGGCCAAGTAGACACAAACAACCTGGATTTGCTGAAGGTTTTGCATTAACTTCACTCTCACCCTTTTTATATAGTTTTCTACTTGGATGTTGGCAAGGATATGATAAGCATTTCTGTTCCTCTCTGAAACACCAACACTCCCAGACTTTATTTAACATGGACTTGCCTGAAATTCCATTTTAATAAGTAAGGTGGCTTTTTATCATGCGTCAGGGAAAGAGGAAAATCCTACTAGTTATGTGACAGACTCATTTTTGGTAGTGTTAGAAATCTGAAAAGAACAAGAAGATTAAAATACTAACAGTGCTAATCTTAAATAGGGTTATGTTATGACCCGAGATCAGCTGTTCGGAAGAAATGTGAAACTCAAACTAAAGTATGGGAAGCGGCTGTTTTCTCCTGGAGCCTGGAGGGACCAGCTCCCCACTCAGAGCACTTGTGGCCTTCAGGAGCGTTTGGAGCTTGTAGCCACAGTAATTTGAGTTTTCTCTTGAATGTCCCCGCAGATTCCCTTCTATCATCAACAACTTTGAGACTCTCCTTCTGCAGAAATGTGGCAGGTTAAGTAGGCAAACTTTGTCGTTATACTTTCTTCCTCCTCCCTAGATCTGTGGAAGAAATCAGAATACCAAAACCTGCTCTGAATACTTTTTTTCTATAGCAAAAGTGAAAAAGGTTTACTCTTGAGACCAACAGGGTATGTAAGTGTACTTATTTAATTCTAAAGGAGACCATTTTGACACTGACATTTTAGTGATATTGATGATGATGCAGTTCAACCCTTAATTTTAACTTCATTCAATTTCGTATTTGAAATGCCAGGCTGTAGTTTATGAACTGACTTAAATTATTTTATTTTATTTTATTTTATTTTATTTTATTTTATTTTATTTTTTTTTAACAGATCAGTTGTTTAATTAGGTTTCTCAAAAGAAACTTAGAACTTCATTTTGTGAGGATAAAGCCCATTTGTGAGAGCAAACACAGAGCGGAGATAGCCCTGGAGCTGAGAGACAGCTTTGATTTTTGGCAGAATTTGTGAGTCCACGGCTTTCTGATCAACCTTGCGTTGCTCTGTAATCTCATATTTCTCCTTCACGGTGTCGAAGATCTCCCCCTCCTGGTGCCTGGGCTTGCACAGCTTCTTCTTCTTGAAGTAAGCATCAGTGAGATGCTTGGGGATTTTCACACCACTGATACCGATTTTGGTGGAGGTGGCGATGTCAAATTTCTGGTGTGTTCTACGCAGAGGAACTCGATTAAGGGCCAGAGGTCCAGGCACAAGTAGCAAGCCACTGCTCAGCTCCTTCAGGCAAACCACCCTGTTGCCTCTGTGGCGCCCAGTGAGGATGATGAGAATGGCCCCGGGAGTGATGCTGGCCTGCAGTTTCCTCACGTGCTGACTGCAGGGCTTCTTGCCCTGGCTCAATAGCTTTCGAGGCACATCTTCAGTAGGATAGTATCTAGGCATTTTGCGAAGTTTAACCACTCAAGTACCACCATTCTTGTCACCACCAATTGGCTACTGTGACAGTAGCCATAACTTTCTCCTTTTTCTTTTCAATCTTGGATTTAGCTGCGGAATACTTCCTCTTGTACATGGCCTTTCGGGAATACATGGCTGACCGGGAATACCTCCCAATTCCTCTGACTAGGAGAGGGTTCCAGCTGCAGTGGGTCTTCCCCTTAGGCGTCTTGGCCTTGAGGTTACCTTTCTTAACCTTGCCACAAGCAACAGGCTTCTTGGCTTCAGGTTTCTTCTCCTTGGTATCCGGCTTCACAGTTTTTTCGCCCGCCGTTTTGCAAGAAGGGAAAAAAGCTGACAAATTATTTTTAAACCGGTGGTTATAAAGAAGATAATGCATTGGCTTATCATTTTTAGTATCTACATTTTTCACCTTTTCGTAAGATAAACATCGATTTATTAATTGATCTGTGATGCATTCATTCGCTGAATTTCTCCTATTTGCCAGTCACTGTAGTAGGCATTGGGGATACAGAGATTAAGACCTTGTCTTTATTTTGAAGGTGCTGACAAGTCCGAAAGGAGAGACATTTAAATAACTATTAATAAAAGAATAGGAACACCTGTGTGTAGTCCTTATTATATATAGCAGGCACTATTCTGAGTGCCTTGTAGGCATTAATTTTAACTTGTGAATTGATACAAAAGCCCTATTACTTGTTACTGTTATTTTCTCTATTTTTCACATGAATAAATTAAGGCCCAGAGAGGTTAAGTACTTGTCTGAGCGCATAAAGCTTCTTTTGGCTGACAAGCAAATGTATTGAGTGCACTAACAGAGCTGTTCCTTTTGGGAAAATGGGGACTAGAGGTGTGGATGTCAATGAAATTTTCCCAAAGGAGACAATACCTGAGCAGGTCTATTAATAGAAGTAATAGAAGAGCCATGAAATACTGGGTCAGCCAAAAAGACTGTTACATTTTGTCTGTGAAATAAATGACACATTTTTCATTTTCACCAATAACTTTATTGATTTGGGTATCTTGAGTATGTCGGCTTATCTTTCATGTGGTAAGATGTTGATTGTTCTCAGTTAATATATCAGTTTGATCACTGTCAACTTCAACTGTTTGATCTGAAGGTAGAGCATCATCCAGTGAGAAACCTCCAGCACGAAACTTTGCAAACAGCTTTTTGACACATTTGATCAGTCACAGCACCTTCTCCATACACTGCACAAATCTTTTTTTGTGTTTCAGTTGTGTTTTTACCTTTCTTGAAATAATAAAGCATAGTATGCCGAAAATGTTACATATTTTCTTCCAATTAAAATGACTACATAAAAACTCACCAATTTTGATAAGTTTTTTAAAAATGCACACTGATATGACAGCTGTCACGATACAGTCTAACAGAATTGTTGAGAATGCAGTTAAAGACAACTAAGCGCTATTAGACAGATCTTCCTGAAAACACCAGATGAACTTTTTGGCCAACCCAGTATTTATTTAGTAACACAAAATGCTGCATCATAAATGGGTTTATAGGTTGAATTGGTGACAAAATAATAGAAGATGGTAAGATAGTAAAAATATACCAGATTCCTGCATCTTCAGTATAAAAGTCAGGGAAATAAAAGACAAGGGGAAAAGAGTTCCAATTTAAAGGCAAACCTTTGTTTCCAAATGGCGTAAGATATAAAAACTTGGTACTTAAAAATTCTAACAAATACTAATTTACTTATACTCTGTAAGTTTGTCGGTAAATGTGTGACACCTTTTAAAGGTACTAAAGTGAATTTCACAGTCACCAGATTTCTTTTTAGGAAACCTGTAACCATCTATAGACATGGCCTACTAGTATTTATTTTGTATAAATGCAGGGAGAAGACTGATTTGCATCTTTCAGGTTAAAACATTGGCAGGAACTACCGATTAGGTAGATTAATTTTATTATTACAGAGATACAGAATTATTCAGAAAGTGGAATGGGTGGCGTACATCCTTGGCTCCACAGCATTAGATCTTGGCTTCTCCATCTTCCTGTAACAAAGAAGGTGCTCTTTGCGCATCAGCCATGTGTCTAACCATCCTTTTGCCCCCTGCAATCATAACCTGCTCACTTTCTCATTACTCCCACTTATCACTGATACCTGTTCTCCACCCTGACCCAGCTTCATGAGCCACCTATTTCCCTGACTGTATGAGTTTTGGGGCTTCTCATCACCTGTGACATCCAGACCTTCCAGCTCCCTACTCCTAGGCCTTGTCTACTCATGGCTCAGGTCAGTAAGTCCCTATTTGACCACACCCATCTGTCCGTCCACCTGGTCCCACAGAGATATAACCCATCTCTCCTCTGACCTCCCTGAGCTCCCTATTCTGCTGATTCCATTGCCCTGTACCTATTTGTCAGTTCTCTCCTGTCTTCATTTACCTCCAGCTGAGCATCCATGGACCATCCACTATTTTAAATCACTGTCTTGCCAAAGCTGTACACTTCCTGACTATCTCATTCAGCAGCACTTGGGCTGCTGAGCAGTGTCGTAGAAAATCATACAACTGGGCAGATTGGTACCTGTTCGCATGAATTCAGGGATTGCCCAGCACTCGGCAGTGGTTGCACCATGTTATTCAGGTTGCTGTCATTCCGATTGTGCATAGTGACCGTTACTAAGCTAATTCACTCTTCAAATGTATGATGCTTCTCCTCCCCCTTACTCCCATCAGGTGATGCACTCGTGCAGCACAGCTCCATCCCACTGGCCGCTGAGCCTCCTCTGTCCCTTGGGATCCACGACCTGATGACCTCCGGGTTTTTCCTCTTCCTTTCGCATTGCTTTTGTCACCTTTGCTGGTTTCATCTCTGTCAAACTGACTTCTGTCAAAAGGCAAGTACTGATGTATGTTTTCTGTTCTGAGTGCAGTTAAACGTTCCTGTGCTTTCTCCTTTGCTTTCTGCTGGAGACAAACTGGAATTTATTGTAGGGCGGCAGGACCTTGGCTCTCTCGTGCTGTGTGTGTGAGCGTGCGTGGGCCTCGCTCTGTGATCTTAGCCAGATGCTCTGCCAAGCCTTAGACAGTAGCCATCTCCTGTGGCTGCTGAACCATTTCACACTCTGCAGAAATAGTCCCTAGAGGGGAAGGTTTGATTGACATCTTCAGATTAGAAGTGGGCAGGAATTCCCCAGATAGATCAGTTTTATTATTAGTGTTCTAGCGTTGTCTTCGGTGTGGCTCACCAGTGCCCTGCGGATTATGGCCCCCGTCCTGCCAAGGAAACCTTAGACCCCTTCTGTGTTATGTTTCCGCGTGCTCGTTCTTTGATCCGCCATTGGAGGCTCGCTGCCCACTTTCCTGTCGCTTCTTGTAAATGCTGCCACTCCCACCTGCTGCCTCTGTGAGGCTCAATATTCCTTTCTTTCTTTTTTTTCAAAAAACTCTTCTCTCCTTTTGTCACATCTCTTTGTTTGGCTTTCACACAAAAATATGAGCATTCAGTAGGCATTATTCGTCAGTTTATTGACTCTTCTGTCCCAGAGCTGGACACTTGGGGATGCAAAGATTGTGAGAACGACACACCTTCTGGTTATCATAGGGGAGAAACCTCTTAATGTTACAGTAATTCCGACACTTTATCATAAAGACTGGTCAAGTCTGAACAGAGCATTTTATATACATTGTTTTATATGAACTTTAAAAGATCCTTTAATGTTGCTGATTATGTCCTGTATTACAGGGGAGGAAACTGAGGTTCTGAGATGTGAAGTCATTTCATCGGTCTCTTAAAAAGCAGCCACACGTGGGAATACCATCCAAGTGTGGGTTGCAAAGCACATGTTCTTAAGTAGTGTGAACACCGTTTTTCTACTCCCCCACACCGCCTGTTTTAGAGGGTGGACCACAAATGGTAGAATTGAATATCTATAATAGGCTGTATAATATTGAATATTAGTTTTAGTGACGAGTTGGAGAACTAACTAGCTGAAAATTATGTGTTGTGGTGTTTTTATTCCTCCATTGGTTTCAGCATAATTCCTGAAGGGCAGTATCTGTATTCTGCCTGAAAATTACACTGCCTTTATTCAGTGTATAGTGCACTTGTTAGCACTGATACTCACATATAACATACTCTCACCAAATTATTTTATTTGCCCTTCTGTTACCTCCTTAAGAGCCAACTTCAAATTTATACTTTAAAATACTTCACCATGCATTTGAAACTTTGTGCTTCACATCTGAAAGAGAAAAAAGATAGGGTTCTCTATCATAGAGGATGTATAGTAACTACATTCTAGATCACTGAAGGTGGTAGTTTAATTTTAATAGTCCAGTTGTATCTTTTCCAGTTAGCTGGAAACGAGCACCTGTGCACTTTGCTCAGAAACCTGAGCTGCTTCTACAGTGGGCTGGCCTGGCCCTGCGGATGGGAATTAGGCCTCCGTTCTTTCTGGAGAGTCTTTCTGTCCTGTGTTCTGACCATAATGTTGGGTTGGCCAATTTAGTGTTTTTCTGTAGAATAAAAGACATATTTTTCATTTTACCAGTTACTTTATTGGTTTGGATATTCTGAGTATGTCAGCTAGCTCCCGTTTGGAGCTGAGAACACGGATGGCTCTCAGTTAGTGTTTACGTTTGATCACTGTCAACTTCAGCTGGTCAACCCGACTGTGGAGCATCGTCCAGAGAGAAATCTCCAGCACGAAACTTCACAGACCACTTTTGACATGTTTGATCAGTCACAGCACCTTCTCCATGGCACTGCACAAATCTTTTTTTATGTTTCAGTTGTGTTTTTACCTTTCTTGAAATAATAAAGCATGATAAACCGAACATGTCACTTATCTTCTTCCATTTTCAGTATTAAAATGGCTACATGAAAATTCACCAATTTTGATTGTTTTTTAAAAATGCACGCTGATATGACAGTTGTCACAGCACAGTCTAACAAAATTGTTTTGAATGAAGTTAGTGACAACTAAGTGCTACTAACACCGTCTTATGGAAAAAACCAAACAAACGTTTTTGGCCAACCCAATAGTTCCTGCCCTCTCTCCCACTTCAAGTCCTTTTGTATTGTTTTATTCTAGACAAACAACTCACAGATTATTTTGAGAGACTATTTTGAGAACTATTTATTCAATAAATATTTATTAAGTATTACTCCCAGCCAGG